TTTTGACCATTCAACCTTTCCTCTTTTCTTGTTTTCTGTTTTATCCAGGCTGAAATGGCTGTCCAGCCCAAAAATGCACTTGCTACACAAGCTGTAATGAACATCAGCAAAGCAGAAGAAGTCCGAAAAGAGACAGAAATGATGATGAAGCCCCATGCGAACTGGGAGGAGTATCTGATGCCCGGTCCCATCTCCATCGCCATCTTAGGGGAGCTGGCTTGCATTGCCGCAGGACAAGGAGACTTTGCCATCAATCTTGCCCCACCCCAGGGAGGCTACAAATATATGAGGTATCCGGACTCCTTTCAGGCTTCCCTGATGCAGGTCAGCAACAGTGGTTGGCATGCCTTCAGCACCGCCCACAAGAATATGGATGGCATCCGGCTCCTTTCTATGAGCATCCCTGAGCAACTCAAGATGATAATCAAGACCTTATTCCAGGATGACCTGAACTTGATAGATACCTTGCTCCCTGGACAGCTATGCAGCCTGAAATCGATTGCAAATGAATGTTCCTCTTTAGCCAAGGCAGTGGACAATAAGTTCAATGATGTCATCTGTCTGATTGGGGAACTCTTGGAAGTGTGTACGAGTTCCAAATCGCAGTACGAACAAGGATTGACAGAAACCAAACGCGCTTTGGAAGATCTGAAACTAAGAAAGGCAGCAGCTGAAGACGCCCAGGCAAAAGCAGAGGAATATTACAAGGAAATAAAGAACAGAGTGACCGAAACGTTTGAAGATTATAGAAAAGCGGTCGATAGCATTCCTACTGGCTGGAATGCTGTATTTCTGGAATTCACTTCGACTATACGAGAAGCCTTGACGTTCCCAATTCCCAATCTGACATCCTGGCTCACCTCTAAGGCATATGGCTCTATCCCAACCCACGCCGGAAGTGAGGAAGGCTGTGAAAGTGAGGATGACTTCATAGCCATGAACAACATCTGTGCCCTGTCAGCTCAAATGTTGGCATTGGTGCACGCTCTTGAAACCATGGTGGATGATGAAGGCAATATTGATATGGATCTCCTCTACAATAAAAAACACAATGAAATCAAAGCTGAATGGACCCAGAAGAAAGCTCAGCAACTGTTAGCAAAAATTAAAAAAGAAAGGAAGTGCAGCATGAAAAATTTGGCAGTGAAAATATGTAAGTATATAGTAGACATTTCCAATATATTAATTGAGGTAGTAGAGTCAGGGGTCCTAAACAAGAAAAAACTGTTAAAGAAAATGGACATTCTCTCAAAGGATATTATTATTTTCGATAGCAGAAGCAAATCCTGTAATCGCACATCCCCCTTTGGTCCCATGGCGCCAAATATGGCCAAATCCCAGAAAATTGTTCAGGGAGAGTCGACGTCAGTGGTGAAAAACAGCGTTTTGAAAATAGAGCAAACTAAAGAAATCCTGAAGATAAGCCAAGAAGAATACCAGAAAACTTTTGACAACTTAAAGGAGCAGAATAAGGATTTGTTGGATGTGCTGAGTGAAATGAGGAAATGTGAAATAAAAGAGATCGATTTTGAAAATGCCAAACAGATGCTGGTCAAAGGCCTGGATGCCATGGGAAGAGTGAAGGAACAGTGGGAGAAAATGGTGCGTTTCTTCCAAATGATCTCCAACCTCATTGACTCCTGTCTCAATAAACGCCTGACAGAATTTGTGAACTCAGCTGAAGATCTTCCCAAAATTCCGAATTATTCCCACAAAGACTTTGTCATAGATATGATTTATAAACAGGCCTTCAATGCATCCAACATAGCTCACTTGGTGCACATGATATCCGAGACCTACACCGAAGTGTCTTCAAAATACCTGATGGATAAAGTGGGCAGCCTGAATAGGCTTATTTCTATGGACCCTTCCAACCCCCAGCTCCGAATGGAGCGTATCAAACTAGCAAATGGCTGCGACGAAGCCCGAGAAGCCATAGAGGCCCTGGTCATTAAGCAAAAGCAAGAATTCGAAAATAGTATCCATGCCAGAGTGGCAAGAATCAATTCTGAGCTGAAGGCCGTCTTGCCGGAAGTGCCTGAAGCAGAGAGAAAAGCTATTGAACATAATGTGCAAAAAGGGATGAGGGAAATCACCCAGGATGAAGCCGAACAATTCATGTAGACTTGTCTTTCACCCCATGAGGGAAATGGAGGCTGCCTAGGCTCTTCTGTATTATTGTATTTCCCTCAGAGTAATAGAATGTCAATTGGGCCGTTCGGTCATCTTGTATTTGGTAAAACTAGAAAACCAAGAAACAACTAGAGATATTGCTGTTCAGGAACCTTTCAAAAATCATCTTGGCCAACCATTTCTGAGGTGGAGGCTCATGTTAGCTTCTACTAAATACTTCTGTTTTCGTTTCTTCTTTATGCACTAGTTATCTCTTCTCCCATCTCTCAATTTTTGTGGACCAATACCCCTCCCTCTGCCTTCTGATCTGCTAGCTAGTTTGTCTACCCTACCATTCCTCTTTGGGCCATTCCTAGTGGAGGAAAAGTTGCTGAGTCTTGTGTGCTTCTTTTTTTAACCATAATTTGTGTGTCTATGATAGAGAAAAGGGTTGGGATAGGTACAGTAAGTAGCTTGAGATCTGCACTAAAAACGTGATATTCAATTTCATTCATTGCTATTAATTCTGTTGTCATTGCAGGTTTCCCTCATTTTTGGATGGTACAATTGAGTGTGAATCTCTCCCTCCCTCCCTCCCTCCTTCCCTCTCTCTTTCTCTAATATATCTATCTATCCATTGCAGACATTAATGGGGGAATAAATAGAATGTCCACATTTTTTCTGGGGTTGCCACTTTTAGGCCTGTATTTCTTTGGAGATGCTTATCAATTAACAGAATAACAGGGGGACCTTGGAGGTCTTCTAGTCCAACCTCCTGTTGGGTCCAACAGCCTGATCTATCATCTCTTAGACTCAGAGAGGTGGCTGCTTAGATTACTATGCTGAAATGTAAGTGAACAATCCTCAATTTTCTTGGCTTCTTGAGTCCTTCTAACTCAGAGGTGGGCAACTATGGCCCCTTTATGACTTGTGGACTTCAACTCCCAAAATTCCTGAGCTAGCATGGCTTGCTCAGGAATTCTGGGAGTTGAAGTCCATAATTCATAAAAGGGCCATAGTTGCCCACTCCTGTTCTAACTAATCAAACATCTTTTCATATTACTGCTGTCCATACGGCTCGTGAATCGTTAGATTCTAACAAGCCATCCTAATTTACTTTCTGCAAATAAGCTTTAAGATAGCAAATATTAAGAACAAAGGGTTTTCTTTTTACTTTTCAGAGAAGGGATCCATTTTCCTCAAAACCAAATGGTAGAAATGTACCTAATGAGGAAAAGAGTGCCAGCTCAAAGATAGATTCTTCAAGTACTTTTAGATGGATGGTAAGTTTCCAGGAAATCAAGAGAAAGAGGTTGACCAATTGGCCAGAATGAACAGAGTCATTAAATACTGAGTTTTGGGCCAAATAAGAATTTCTTTTATTTAGTTAATCATACAATTATTAACTGCTAAGACACTATGGTTTTATATATATTGTTGTAATCTTAAATCAGCCAAATAAGATTTTTAACTCTTTTTGCCTTTCAGTTACACTTTAATGTTTGTCTCTTTTATTTTATTGATTCATTCGAGTTTTTCTACCATGTATAAGAGCTATGTTAATCATCTGAGGTTCATAAAAATTATGCTAAACAGCTACCCTATATTACTTGCTCTTATGCTAGAAATATTCAATAAATGTCTATTCTCTAAAATTGGCCTGGTTTTAATATTTTCTTGACTTCACATACCATAACTTTAGAGATCAGAACATAGCAGCGTTTCTATGGAGATTCTCAATCACCCAGGTCATGGTTGTCTCTCAGGTGCTTTTTCAAGGGGCAACTGGACTTTCATGTTTTTCTTTGAAGTCATTTCGTTGAAGAAACTTTCTCCTTGATTAGTTTCCATCCATTACATCTTTTCCTGCCTTCAGGTGCTTTGGAGAATAGATTGACCCCTTCTTCTATATTAAACTTCTGGATTCTGGCCAGATTACCAGAGTTGGAAGAGGCCTTGTAGGTCATCTAGTCAACCCCCCCCAACCCAAGCAGGATACCCTACACCATTTTTGACAAGTGGCAGCCCAGTCTCTTCTTGAAAGCCTCCAGTGATGAAGCTCCTCAACTTCCAAAGGCAAAGCTGTTCCATTGGTTGATTGCTCTCACTGTCAGAAAGTTTCTCCTTATTTCCAGGTTGAATCTCTCCTTGTACAGTTTTCATCTATTATTCCTTGTCTGGCCTTCAGGTGCTTTAGAAAATAGCTTGGCCCCTTCATCTCTGTGGCAGCCCCTCAAATATTGGAACACTGCTCTCCTGTCTCCCCTGGTCCTTCTCTTCACTAGTCTAGCCATGCCTAGTTCCTGTTAAGTTCCTCCAGTCCCCTAATCATTTTGGTTGCTCTTCTCTGCACTTTTTCTATAGCTTCTTGGATGAGAAGTGAAACGTCTTCAAAGAAAAACAAAGAAAATCCAGTTGCCCTTTGAAAAAGTACTTTTGGGACAACAGGGTTTCCAGTTGGACGGTGTGAATATTAGGGGCAGCATCAGTGGTGATATTCAAAAATTTTTTACTATTGGTTCTGTGGGTGTGGCTTGGTGGGTGTGGTGTGGCTTGGTGGGTGTGACTTGGTGGGCATGGCAGGGGAAGGATATTGCAAAATTTCCATTTCCACCCCACTCCAAGGGAAGGGTATACTCTAAAGTCCCCATTCCCTCCCCACCCCAGTAACCTGCTTTCCAGCTCCGTTCTCCTGTGCAGGGCAACCAAAGGAGACTCAGCCAATCAGCTGGGATTCGGGAGGCAGAGAATAGATGGGGGCGGGGCCAGTCAGAGGTGGGAGTGCCAGTTCTCCAAACTACTCAAAATTTCCCCCACCGGTTCTCCAGAACCTGTCAGAACTGGCTGAATACTAACTGTGGGCAGCATACATTTCCACCATCCTGTTTACCAGATTTTGAAAACAAAAATACAGTATATGTGGGAAGGGTACAGTGATAAGGACTTTTTCCTTGATGGGATGGAAACTATAGGATATTTGGTAAGGCAAATTTTGGTGGTAAAAGTTACAAAAAATAATTATTAGCGTTCAGAGCTTTCTAGTTCCAGGTAAGGTGCTCTCACCTGGTGCTTGGTAGAAGGCACTGGCGATCAATGGAAAGCCAAAATACCCTTGTGTCTTCAGTATGAAAACAAAGTTTTTGTTTCTAAATAATGGTAATCAAACAGAAATCAATTTTCCAGCTGTGGCTTTTCACTGCCTGCCTCCTGGCGACGACAGGGTCTGAACTCAGAGCCCTGGGCCTTCTCATGGTAAATAAATAAACACACGGCACCAGTGTTTACTCGGGATGAAAAGGCACTTTAATAATGGTGGGTACTCCTTTTATAGGCTACATGCACACGTCATAGCAGAAACAAAGAAGCTTTCTACATAATTATGCTAATGCAAACCTATACCATAGCTGGTGTCTTATTGCTCCTACTTTTAGCCCCGCCCGGTTACTCTTATCTCCATAACTTTCGTTTCTCCCATATAACTCTCGTTTCTCCATATAACTTTCGTTTCTTCAGTATCACATGGTAACATTCCATTGTCCATCCATCACTTTTACAAGGTTGACCATTGCAACGTTTAGCGTAACAGTACATTGCAACATCCAGCCTCAAATAGGGCGAGGGGAAATCCATCGCAGTCTTACCTGGCTTGCACTCTGTACATGTAGAAGACAATCGAAGAAATCTTAAGGCAAAATTGAAGAACTGAAGTTGATGAGCAAAGCTGAGGGAGTTGTAAAGTATGGTGTGTAAAAGTTCTGAAAGCTCCCTAGTTTCTGTGAAGCATTGCACTCTCCATCTGTCAATCATCATCTCCCCCCCCCACACACACACACTATTAAAGTCGGGGGTGGGGTTTGAGCTATAGGAAAACATGGAGCCAGTTTAGTCTATAGATTCTGGCTGCCGCATCTCACAAGAAGAAACAGCGGGAGTACTGAAAATAAAAAACAACGGTTAATACTGTATTTTGTTACACCCCAAGGGTGGGCTTCAAAAATTTTAGCAATGGGTTCTCTGTCCGGTTGCTGGGTGGGTTTGGCCATGGTGGGCGTGGCCTAGCCAGCCTCCTGCACCACAGTGGGCTCCAGAGGCCTTCTTAAACCTCCGGAAGGGTGAAAGTGGCCTCTCCGGGCTCCGAAGGCTCTCTGGAAGCCAGAAACAGGCCCATTTCCAGCCTTCCTGAACCTCCAGGAGGCCCGTTTTTTGCCTTCTCTGAGCTTCCGGGCGCAGCCTGTACTTACCTGCATCCAAAAGGGGCCATGTGCCGACTCCAGGGTGGGGCTGGAGGGATTTGGAGGTTCTTCAAACTGTGCAGTATCTTAGCTAGGGGCTCTCCTGAACCCCTGCAAACTCCCAGCAGCCCACCCCTGGTTCCACCACAGGAAATAAATTAAAAATCCTGCTTCGTATGTTGCTTTTTTGTGTGTCTGTATCGTTGACTTGCTGTAGTGCAGGGGTAGAGAAACTTGGCTCTTCTATCACTTATGGACTTCAACTCCCAGAATTCCTGAGTGAGCCATAAAAGGTTCCGCATCCCTGGCCTACTGTTTTTTTATTTCAGTTGTGGGGGAAATCAATTTTTGACTTGAATGGGACTGTTTAATATACAAATGTAGGACATATAAAGATTGCATGTAAAGAATACATCCCACATTTGTATATTAAACAGTCCCATTCAAGTCAAAAACTGATTTCCCCCACAACTGAAAAAAAACAGTAGGCCAGGGATGCGGAACCTTTTATGGCTCACTCAGGAATTCTGGGAGTTGAAGTCCACAAGTGATAGAGAGCCAAGTTTCCCTACCCCTGCTGTAGTGTAATACAAAGAGTTAAAATTCTTCATAGCTGCTGGTTGGTTCTTTGTCTCCAGATCCTCAAAACAGCCTTTTCTCTGGCATCTGGCTGCTACCTGACACTTGGCAAAACAAGACCTGTGGCCATTTACTAAGGAACCAAAAATCTTATGAGACCAGAGGATCTCTCACACCCAACACTGCAACCAGTTAATTCACAAAATCACCCAAACTTACTTTGTTAGGGGGCACACCAACATTTACCGTGACATTCACTGGTTTCATTCAATTTCACAGCTATATGCTTTACTCATGATCATTCCTTCATTGAAGTTTATTGTAAACAAGTTAAGAAGAACA